GGGTTCATGTTTGGGTTAGAATGGATAGTATTGGGGTAATGGTTGGAGGTGGGATTAGGGCTAGGAGGGTTAGGGTTGCAGGTAGGACACGGGATAGGAACCCCCTGGACTTTAGCGCGAGGCCGCCTGAAACACTGGAGGAGTTCGTATTCCCCAGTAGGACTGCCGACTGACAGGCTTCGAAATGGGTATTTTGGGGGAGGTGGATGGTAACTCAGTAGTGTGCAGCTTAAGCGGTCAGTGCCGTTGAACACTAAGCCAAAAGATGCAGGAGGACCTCCCCGGTGCAAAAAAGAGAAGGCACAAAGACTAGAACAGGAGACAGCACCTTTGTTGATGCGGTCGGTTGTTGATCCTCCATCACCTTACTGCGTTGCTAGTCTGTCTGGAAATAAATGAGTTATTTGGCTGCCTTGGCGTTTTGACGAGTCGTCTAAGATAGCTACTTGCTTGGTTTAAATCTCAATACGACCTCAAGCGAAAGACCCCGGCACATTTACCGTAGTTGTAGGGACGTGCAGCAACGTATGTCTGTGCAGGTGCCCAACGCGATTCCAGCCTTTCGTCGTAGGCCGCAGTCGATCACCCATAAACAGACCTTTTTTCTTTCTGTCATGAGTGAGAAAAGACAAGCAATTAATTCTCATAAGCTCAATGTAAAGCTGTATTAGTGTTTGTTTTAACAGGAGTGATGAGGATTTTAAAGAAAAATTCAGGAAAGTTGAGGAACATTAAAATTTAAAAAGGCTCTAATTTCAGTGGCTCAGACCAGACCAGGGAGGTTTCGGAGTTTTTCATGGGGTTAGTAAATAGTACGATATCCTAATGCTTTGATCGTTTATGCAATGCAAGTTTGCTCTAAATTCATTATTTTAGCCGCACTTGAATTCCTAAAATAATGAGAGGGTTTTAAAAAAATCGAACACTTTTAAACGTTATAAATATATATCAAGTAGGTAATAGTACTATATTTTAAGGGACAGTCACCAGACACTTTCACGGCAGGCGTTTACTTAAACTTGATGCCCCGAATGCTTAAACAATATTCTTAGTTTTAATTCCTTTCAAAAGGCGAACATTTTAACCTGTTAAGAGATCAACTATTTGCATGTCAAATGAGTATTCATTAACCTTTTTGGGTGGGATACATTTCTGATATTCTGGACGTTGTATACCGTTGTGCTTCTGTCATTTTATGCGTGCTTTCAGAGGATTTGTTGTAGAAGTGGCTAAAATTAAGACTATTGACTACCTGACATCAGCAAACGATAACTACTGTAACGATGCAAATGCATTCTTTGAAGAACGACAAGAATAACTCGCTTATTAGTTTGTAGTTTTTTTTAGTAAACATGCTGCACCGACGCAGTGAGATCGACGTCTAATCCAATTACTCGGGTTTTCTTTCATTCTCCCGAAAATAAAATTATACCCGATCAAAGTGAATGACTACAACTGACGGCTGATGCGAACAGCGTAGACCGTAGGCAGTACTGTGATTCGGTTCCGTTTGTGCTAACCCCCACCAGTGCCAAGAGCATCGAAAAAGAAGAGCTACTAGTTCACCTGAAGCCTGCCCGATGAGGAAAAACCAAGGCCTAATGTTGATTGGTAAACATCGTGGAAATGTAATAAACAATGGCATATGGCACACCTGACAACAAGCGTCAACCTGCAAGCTGACTGGAATTAGACGTACTTCCAAAGTTGAGTGGTTGGCATATATAAATGTGAATGGCAGACCAAATCGTTGGAGTTCACCATGACTCTTCAAGTTTGCCTGTGCATTGAAGTTTCCGAAAAGGCATCTAGAGCTTTACCTGCCCTTGAGACTTCCCACATACTTGGAATACGTGACCCCTGAAAGGGTACGACACGGGAACAGGAACTCCCGGTAATACAAGTTTCCTTGTTTTAAATTTCAGGGAAATTAAGGTTAGGGTTATTGTTGGGATTGGGATACGGGAATAGGTATCCTTCCTGGAATTTACCTCAAGACCACCCATGAAAGCACTGGTAGCAGCTTGTCATGGCATCATAAACTCGGCTATAATAAAGTCGGTATTACGACCTAAAATATGTAACGCACTAAGATAACGAGTTTCGATGGGACATTGTCTGTTTCGCCCATTTGACGTTTTTTAGGCCCGATCGCCTTTGCACTACGTTACTACTACTACTGCTACTACTACTACTACTACTACTACTACTACTACTACTACTACTACTACTACTACTACTACTACTACTACTACTACTACTACTACCACCACCACCACCAAAACTGCTGATGTTCACATCTGACGACATTATACGCTACTTTAACAGTGATCTATTTTTGGGGTGCATCGTTTTATGTGATTGGGAAAAGCTGCACCACAAAGTTAGTGTAGTCTTGTTGATAGGCAACTCTGAGATCATATTCTCTGCCCCCTCCCCCCCCCCCCACGCCGTTTGGTTTTAGTCAAAATGGAAAAATTCTAAGAAAACGTTGCTTTTGACATGTATGAATGAAGGAAAAAGATCAGAAACTGCTTTTGCAGACTATACGGCACCTGAATATGGGCGTAGGGGCCAGGCCATGTCGATATTAGTTGGACGTTTCTACCCTTAACCTGCAAGACATGAATAAATCCTAACTGAGAACCGGACTTGAGGGCAGGCGCCTAAAGGTTTTGACGCGATTATACGACAAAGATGTTACTAGTCGAAATTATACTATTCTACATGTTGTCGTCAGCTACAGGCTAGAGAGACCAGGTGATCAAACCCGGTCCAGATGGCCAGTGAGCTTCCCGTTTCACCGAATAACACAAGAACTCACGTCCCGTCAGATGCGGCAAGGGAATCGCAGTGTCTCGTGAGAGTGCCGTTCGCCGCTCTGACCTGATTGGCTGGGCTCCCGCTCACAGCTGGCTGGCGAAGGCGTCAACACAGGAATTTTCATTTCCGTTTCCCTCGCTTTTAGTAATAGTACCTCTCGATGTGTTCTGGGACTTATTCCGCGTTTCATTCAAATTTTCCGAGAAGGCGTTAAAGAGTTGCAAGGCTGTGGGAAGCGAGTGAATGTGAGGAACATCGCCATCTGGCCGGTCACCGACGTGTTCAGGAGTACCGAGATTAGGGGGTTAAATGTCTAGAGAAATAATTGTATACCAACTTATACGGCAAATTTAAGGAGAGGTCTCACTTGATAAGTCGGAATCGGATCCTCCTGGATCATGCTCTACAGTATACTTATGGCCAGAATAGAACGTTATCATCGAAAATCTTCTACTGGTTGACGCTACCATTCTAATTGGAATCAATATGCCACTTTTTCCGTTGGACATCTCGTTCGCCACACAGGCCTTCATTGCCCTTCCACTGGTTTTACGGTTAAGTTATTAGCGCGGTATTTTGTCGACCGCTAAGCGTTCACAAGCACAATTTGCATCTACGCTCTCGTATTTTAAAAGAGGACCCGCGTCTCTGCAATGGACAACACGCTCGACGGTTTCCTCGTGCCCACGGCGCATAAACCTGTCCAAACTTGATTCCTGTTGTTGGACCCGCGTCTCCTCAATGGACAACACGCTCGACAGTTTCCTCGTGCCCACGGCGCATAAACCTGTCCAAACTGGATTCCTGTTGTTGGATTAAGTAGCAAACCAATAGTAGTGAAAATCCGATTCCCAGGTGGCATATCAAAAGAAGAGTGGGCGTTCACCGGGAGGGGTTTATTTGAGATCCGACGCTTCGGGTAGTTTATTCGTCTACCCATCTTCAGGGACTGGGAGGTCCTGTGCACAGCACTCCTTATTATGGCGCCCTTTGTCCAATGCGTGATCCGCCAATGCCGCCTGTGCGGCTGCATCCCACCCGCATGTCACCGTGACCTGAATCGCCCCCGTCGGCCGCGGTGATGACTGACGGCCCCGATTGTCCCGCGCCGTGACTGTCCCCCGCTAAGAAGGTTCGTAAAATCAGATAAGGGGGAGGCAAATTGATGTGGCGGTTGACAGAGCTGTCGGTGGACATCCAGGCTTCTTGCACTTGCCTTGCTGTGTGATCGCTGCCCCGGCCCACGATCTCAACGGCGTCAAAGTTGAAGATGTGTCCCATTTGCGCGGCATGGGTTGCTACCTCCGACTTTGGGTCCAACCTTCGCACGGCCAACTTATGCTCGTGCATTCGCGATTGCAGCCGTCGGCCGGTTTCCCCAACGTAGTTGCAACTTCCGCAGCTGCATTGAAGTCGGTAGACAACGGCCGACATCTCCTGCTTAGGGATCGGATCTTTCGGCCGCATCACTTGCCGGCGGATTGTTGAGTCAGGCCTGTGGGCAACACCTATTCCGAGTGGCGCGAGTGATAGAGCCACGACTTCGGAGACCCCTTTAACGTACGGAATGCTCCGCCACGAGTTTGGCTGAATATGCTCCTCGTTCCGTTTCTTTGGCTGCCTCCGGCTTCGTTCAATGAATGCCCGCGGATAGCCATTGGCTCTGAAAAGTTCTCGGAGGAGCTTTATCTCATTCAGTTTGGCGGCTGGCGTGCTGCAATGAGTTTGTAGCAGCCGCTCCAGCCCCCCTTTTCTCCGGCTCCGTTTTGTCGGTCGATGGCCGTGACAAGCATTGACAGGCCGCTGACACACGACCACCCACACCGGCTTGAACTGGGGTCCTCCTGTCCAGCTGCAGTGACTCCCGGCTGCCCTCACAAACTAGTATCACCTAACGCGCGTCGAACGCTCTGGCTTGATTCCCGTGAGGCCTTGTGAGTATGCGCCCTCCATTCCTCCCCTAATTTGTCCAATCACACAACCAACACTCAGCCAGTCACCCCTCCTGCTGACCCAGACGCACACCCGCGTAAACAACACACACCGTGACTGACACTCTCCGTGAACGGACGCTTATCTCTGTTGCAAGCAAACGGCCAACTTACGGCAACCTGCCCTGTGTACAGAATAAACTAGTCCTCACAGCTCCCCGACTTCTGACAGTAGACGAAACGAACTTATTGTGCGTGGTTTAAGTCGATCTTACATCCTTGACCGCCACAAGTTTCCACCCGTCGGTACAGCGTGCGGACACAGCTTCGTTTGTGTTGTGGCGGGTGGTTGCTGTTGTAGCTGAGAATTTGCAGTGTGTTCGTCGGTTTTCTGTAGACCGACGTCGCTAGTTCGCCATTTGGTTGGCGGCAGACGAGAACATCCAAGAATGGAAGTTTGTCCTCGACTTCCTCTTCCATCGTGAACTGTAGATCGGGCATGATTGAGTTCAGTACTTCCGCATAGTAGTTGATTTTATCCTGGTCTATGATCACGAAGGTGTCATCAACGTAGCGTGCCCAAAACTTGGGTTTGTACTCCTCGAATAGTCGTCTCTCGAGTTTTTGTAGAACCGCCTCGGCAATGAGTCCGGAGATTGGTGAACCCATTGGAGCGCCCTTGATCTGCTCGTATGTGGTCCCTTCGAAGGTAAAGAATGTCTTGAGGCAGTGCCCCATGAGTTCTATGAGATCCTGAGCTGTGGGCTGGCCATCGTTCCCGTCATAATTTTGACGTAGCAGGTCACTGAGCGTTTCGACCGCAAGGGCCTGTGGTATGGACGTGAAGAGTGAGACAACGTCAAAAGACACCATCCTTTCATTCGGTTCGATCGTGACTGCCCTTATTTTGTCAAGGAATTGTCCTGCTGAGTGCACCGTTGTTTGTGAGCCTGCAGTTACGAATCTTAGCTTCTGAAATAGCCAGGTTGCAAGCCCGTATGTGGGTGTGCCTCGGAGCGAGACGATAGGACGGAGGGGAACATCTGGCTTGTGTACTTTTGGGAGACCATAGAATCTCGCCATAGCGGTTTCTGCGGGCTTTGCCATATACCAGTCTTTGACGGTGATGACCTTGTCCTTTTTTAGTCGAGCCAGAATTCTGTTAACCTTTGCCACTAGGGACTTTAGACTGGCGGCGTCGCTGACTTTGTAGGACTCTCGATCGTTGAGGAGCAGGAGGGCTTTGCGTCGGTAGTCCACCTTGTCGAGGATGACGGTTGACCGGCCTTTGTCAGCAGGCAGAATAACTATTTCGGTGTCCGCTTTCAGCTCCCTTAGGGCCTTCTGTTCATCTCTTAGCAGGGAATGGGTTTTCCGGTGCGACATGAGAAGTGAAGAGACTTGATGTCGAAGGAGGTCCTTTACCTCGTCTGTGGCGCCGGTTTGACGAAGCACTGATTCGAAAGAAGCAATGAAGGTGACCGGGTCGGCGTCAGTTGTGTTAAAACCAGATCCGCGTTGTAGAACTTTTGTTTGGGTCACAGTAAGTTGTTTTGAGGAGAGGTTATGTACTATCGTTTGTTCGGTTTCCTGGTCTTGTGCGGTCTGCAGTGTCATGAACTTTATCGATAAATCCGCATCTCTGTTAGCACGTTTCTTTCGTCCCAATGCTAGTAATGTGTTCTCCCACGCCCACTCTTCTTTTGATATGCCACCTGGGAATCGGATTTTCACTACTATTGATGTGAATTACGGGCGCGATGCGCTTCAACTGGCTCGTCGTTGGGAAAAAACTGTCCTCCGACAGGCCTCGACCTATGCACAGCTCCATTTCCTTCACAGATGCCTTGCCAACTATGTTATGCCAAAATGCCTCTCCTACAGGCCTCCAGTCAACACGGAATTGGCTAAACAAACGGTGTTCCGCCATAGTCGACGAATGACAAGGGTACTCATACAAGATTGTCACCTGCGACTTAAGAAATACGCACACAGTGCTGAAAACTACCGGATGCTTGTTACACGCCGGTGTGGGGAATCGACTGCCACCTCATTGGAGAACACATTACTAGCATTGGGACGAAAGAAACGTGCTAACAGAGATGCGGATTTATCGATAAAGTTCATGACACTGCAGACCGCACAAGACCAGGAAACCGAACAATAAGGAGTGCTGTGCACAGGACCTCCCAGTCCCTGAAGATGGGTAGACGAATAAACTACCCGAAACGTCGGATCTCAAATAAACCCCTCCCGGTGAACGCCCACTCTTCTTTTGTTAAGTATCAAACCCCCTCCAATAACATACACTCCTACTGTCAGCGACGCAGAGAACTGGTGACATCTGCCCTTTAATTGTGAAGGCAAAACTCGTCAAATGACTCGTCAGTCCCGCGTCCCCTTCACCAGCACGGGACTCCTCCTTTTTCAGGGCTACGTCATCTCCGATTCAACTACTAGGGGCAGATTTGAGAGGCCTGCCACATTCCATGCGGAAAATACGGTCGCGTGAATTTGCCCGCGTGGCAAGTATTGGCAACAAGGCGCCGATGGGGACACCCCACTTTCGGACTCATTAGATTAAAAGTACAGACGGGCAAAAGTACGCTAGCGGTTGGTAAAAGGTCGACTGTATAGAGATACTCTTCTTCCAACAAATCATAAAGGCATAAAGGTTTTGCTAACTCAGTTTCGGCAAGCAGATGTTTCGACAAACGGCATTTCCAGACTAGTTGAAAATGAGCACTAGACGAAACTGTCCTCTATTACGTGGACAGATATCTTCGCGGATCAACGACAACTCAAAGATCTCATGCTGTTTTGGGCACTCCATGAGTACTTTCGCGTCAGCGTCAAATAAAACAATCATTTTCAAGTGCACCAAAAACTCACATTTTCCAGCGCTGCCATCAAGTCAGGCTTGCCAAGCCGAGTATAGACACTGGTCGCAGGGCTGTAAAATTGAAGACGAAAAATAAACTTTAAATGTCAGTAAAAACTGGTCGAACTTATCACGTCCTCGAATGTAAACTTCATGTTAAATGGGTATAGAATTTTGTCATGATAATGACGCCAAGAGATGGTTATGTAGTCGGTTAAGATACTGCGTTTTATCGTGGTTTCATCAACGTTTTTGACCCCCCCCCACCATCTACCTCTCATTGAGGAAATTAGCTGCAGACTCTTCGAGTGACACGACAGATTTCTTTTAAAACTCCACTAGCTCTGCGGGGACCTACACTCGAAATAAGCCTTAAACATTTCGTCGTTCAGAGCAATCTCTCGACTCACACTGACCTGAACCGTTATCTGTGCTTTTTTACTGCACATGAGACCACTGCCCGGTGTGCAAAAAAGTGCTCACGACGTGAGTTTTTTCGTGGTCTTGAAGATTAAAGAGAGGCCGAAGCAAATTATTTTGGGCTCAGGAGCACCTGGGTCCACTACTGCCAGTGAACGGCCAACAGATGTGCACCAGTAGGCTTTGTTGACTGCTGGAGAATGATCGGAAGAAGCGTGTTTGCCTTACAGCCCCTAAACGCAAAGTGTCATATCAGACAGAGCGTGTAGCGAAATGAAAAATATTAGAACCATCGTTTCGATACTGCACATGTTGTCATGGCCCTTCCGTGTGACATGTCCTGCTGTCTTTCAACTTAAAGTTCGGCCTTCTTCGAGGACTGGCTACTGCGATTGACCAGATTTTGCAGCACACCCGGACGTTTACCTAAATTGGCCCAAAATAACCGAAAAGTCATAGGCTCTTTCGGTAAAGCCTCATTTTAATGAGAAGGAAGTCGACTTCAGGGACTTTAAATTCGGACGGTTGACTGAATTAACTTATTAGTAAATCTTCAGTTGGCACGGTTGCCCGGGAGGAGACAAAAACCGACCAGAAAGGCCTTTTAGCAAAGGACGCTTAAAATGCACGCACAGATTGTAAAATGTGAACGGTAATTTTTACTCTGGGGTCCTTGCAAGATATTTGAACAATATCCCTATTTACCTGTCAGATCTATAAATCGCTGCGTAAACGTACATGAATAGGGAATGTGAGCTCCGTCCGCGGAATATTGTCACACAAAACCGCATTTACGGGGTTGTATGACCCCCGAAGGATCTTCTTCTATGTTCAAGTTATCAAGTGTTCTTCGTAACAGCGTTAGCTATTCCTCAAGCCAACATCTAAATAGCTATTATATCATCACCTTTAGTCTGCCTACCTTGTATTTCCGCTTCTGGGCCTAAGGTCCCTTCGGGCTACTGTTCCATTCAATTCCGTGATACGAAGGGCTGTCCTATGCTCAGGAAGGCTACCCAAGATACTTTGTGGTCCTGGCCTTCCATACCCTGTCTGATCGCAGCTACTTAACTCCTTGTGTTCACCAGGACCGTTCTCGAGTTTGCATCTGGGCTAATTACACACGCCAAGCGATGCTGCAGGTCTGTGAAGTTGCATTTCCCTGTCTGAGTGGATGGGCGGGAGAAGGGGTGGGTGGGGGGGAAGGCGAACCAGCACCACGTCCCCTCTTCTGCGCAAGGCAACTGCATCAAGCCAAATCGTAACACTTCACATGACGAGTTGCATATTAGTGGGGCCCTCTAATTGTGCCAGACGCGTATGTTACACACACGCACAGATCTGATAGCGGAATTTTCCCAGGCACCTTGACAGCGCGGCAGTTCGTCGAATCTGCTAATGAGAATGCAAAACGAGTCCGCGGAGCGATAGCGATTAGTCATCGGCTGCTGACCAATCAGCCTCGAGCAACCTTTTCGGCCAGACCTTTGAAGCGGGGCAGCTGGGGGAGGACAGTTAGGTGTTACATTAGCCCAAACATATACGGAAAGTACAGTGACAAAGTCATCACTGAAGGTGGTGGGAGGTGTGGTTGACGGAGCGACCATGAGATGAAGTGACTTGCGGCAGAGATCTCAGGACGACAACCGACCGACTTCTGGAGTCAGCTTTAAAATCAAGTACACTGTTTGAACTCTCCCAATATTTCCTTTTCTAATGTCGCCTGCCAACCGAGATGTCTCATAATACACCTACAAGTTTAACCACTTGTGGAAATAGGACATATACACCTCTTATAAACTTGTGTTTGGTCTTTACCGAAAAACGAAAAATATGGTAGGTCAGAAGATTTTTTTCGTACTTCTAGAAAAACAGACGCATCTGCGTCTTATTGCTTTCTGGAAGCCCCACACACGTGACCTCACTACCAACAGGACATGGACCTGTGGGCTCAAAACCCTAGTCTTCCCTCATATGGGTCCAATGTTAAGCTAATTAAGTCATCGATCCTTCTTACGGAACTCTCTCGCCCTCTACCATTGTATATTCCCGATCGAAACCGACAGGGCAACGAACTCGTATCCCAGTGGTTAGAGGCGTGGACTTCTAACTAACAGGCCGCGAGTTCGAGCCTCGGCTGTCCCACACTTCGGGGTTGGGTATGACTGGCTGATGACGTCTAATAAGCCAGAAATGGCCATTCCAGTCTCTCTTGTCTTTTTCGGTAATACCACTCTGAATTAACTCACATTTGTTTAAAAATCTGTACAAAGGGTTCATAAATCAAACTCGACCTGATAACCCCAGGACAAAAAATTCCGGGTTCATATATGAGACTTACGCGAAGAGTTAGGCTGATGGCCACAAAAGCGAGCGGAATAACCGTTCAATGCTCATGCAGTAAATGTAGCAGAAATATGTTTTGAACATAGCAAACAGTTTGGTGACACCGACTTATATGGCTCCTAAATAGGAGATTGGAATATGTACGCTCCTCCCAAATAACAAAGGTGGATCTGCGCGGAAAGAGTAGCATATTCCCGTGTCCTAATCCCAACAATTGCCCTGATATAAAACTTAACCGTTGTCCTAATCTTGACCCTAACCGTGCCCTAAACCCTAGCTATGCAGTTAACACTAGCCCCTACCTTAACCTTAAACTTGATCTTGTCTTACCTAACCGTTAACTTCAAATCTGGCCTTAAAAATGATCCTTAACCAAACTCTAATTTCACTGGAAGTTGGCTGAAAACCACCCGTATTGAGGGCGGTTCCTGTCCTGTTTGGGAGGGCCATATAGTCAGTCCTACCCTCCGTTTTACCACACCCTAAACGTAGGTGCCTGCTAAAATCTCCGACATTTTCCCCCGATCTTCTGCTGTCGTATTGCCAAAAGACTCCGGCGCCAACATTCCTCGTAAGTGCTTCACCTTGGCAGCTATATATTAAAAACCTTCTATCCCAAAAAGTAATTAACATCCCTGCTATTTACGATTTGCCGTTAGCTTTGCTACTACCTTGGGTACATGCAGTGTCTCCAGTCTGCTTCAATGTGGAAGTCGATTTGCCTGGCAGTACGACAAATCGTTATTTCGCGAATCATGGCAAGCGTCGCTTATTCGAACATGACAGGGCAGTGTAAAGACAACCGGAAGTGGGTTTGGGCGCAGTTAATGGCAAAGTTAAAGTCCGTCCACGCGTGCCACACACACGACCCAGTTCTCACCAGACTTCTGCGAGGGCAGCTGAGAGAGTGCCATGAAGGTCATATTTGGTGAGCAACCGCTGCTGCCTAATTCAGAATTATTCACGCGCT